AAGGCCACAAAAAAAAAAAAAAAAAAAAAAAAAAAAAAAAAAAAAAAGCTTACTACTAGATTCTTTAAAATTTTTAAAATTTAAAAGCAAGCCCCAATCTCAATTTTCTTCATTCTATTAGCAGGTTATGGTGACTAAGGGGTAAAGGGAGCACCCAGGAAGAGGAAACATAATTAATTACAGTTCTTACTAGGAAATATATCTCTTCCTGTTATTCCAAGTGTTTCCCAGTACATGCTTAACATGGAAAAGAGTAGAGATATCAGTCTGGGCTTTAAACATATTCATATCTAATACAGCCTGTCTTTGATTGTAAAAGTGAAGATTTTTTTATGAGAATTGATTAAGGATGACGTGGAGCTGATAAAAATGTTTTTCCCATGAATCTTCTGACAATACTGAGCTGAACTGCTTGAGAATTCATTTCTCAAACAAGAGGCAATTTGCTTTAATGCTATACATTAATTCATGTATAGTAAATATAGTACTTGATAATAGGTCCCTAAGTCTGAAGAATTCGGCCACATAAAACAGTGGTTACAATTATTAGATTTGAATTCCATCTGCTTAGTTAACAAAAAACTCAGCTTCTATAGTAATAAGCTAAATGAGTTCAAGTTACTTAACCACTGACATTTAATAATAGCTACTATTATTGAGTTCTTACTGTGATTGGGCTTTGTGTTAAGTGCTCGACTTATTCATGCAACGTAAAGATGAGGGAACCTAGGCACATAGAAATTACACAACTTGCCTAAAATCTCAGGGCAGAACTGGGATTTAAAACAAAGTAATCAGAATCCAAGAGCCACATAACCACTGTTGTATCCTGCTGTTGACATTGCAATTACAATTAATGAAGCCAAGTCTTGATAATTCATGATAATAAGGATTAGATGGGTGAGTGAAATCAAATAAAATCATAAATGGCCCTCAAATCTCATTTTAGTTTGGGTTGAAGTTTCTGTTTTCCCAATCAAAATCTCTAACCAAACTGTTTATTGGTAACAAAATTATCAGGTTTATCCTTTTTCTAAAAATTGTGAAAAATTTTTCCTTCCAATTTTATTGAGATATAATTGACATATAGCACTGTATAAGTTTGAAGTGTACAGCATAGTATTTGACTTACATACATCATGAAATGATTACCACAGTAAGTTTATTGAACATCCATCATCTACATAAATATGAAATTAAAGAAATAGAAATTTTTTTCCTTCTGATGAGAACTCTTAGGATTTACTTTCTTAACACCCTTCATATATAACATACAGTAGTGTTAATTATATTTATCATGTTGTACATTGCATCTCTAGTACTTATTTTATAACTGGAAGTTTGTACCTTTTGACTACATTTATCTAACCTCCTAATGCCCAACTGTGAAATTCTTAATAAAAAAGAAAAGGGCCAAAAGGCAGACAGAAAGAACTTTATAATGGGTAATTTATAAACTGGATAGTCTTTTTTTTTAATTGATTTTTAAAAATTTAATTAAATTTAATTTTTTTGGCCACACCACATGGCATGCAGGATCTTAGTTCCCCGACCAGGGATTGAACCCATGCCCCCTGCAAAGGAAGCTCAGAGTCTTAATCACTGGAATGCCAAGGAAGTCGCTGGATAGTCATCTTGAATAATGGTTGGTGGCTAAGCATCCTTAGAAGAACTCGGATGTGTAAACTCACCTTTCATATATTCTTAGGATAAACCTATCTGACCATTTTTGACATTTGAACTCATAGATGTCTTGGGCCATCATCTAAATACAGTAGCAAGTTAAATTGTCATCACAGACTACTATTTGAATAGGAACTTTTACTGGATACTTTCTGAATTTTGTAACTGAGAAAATAATTTCTTAAGAGTAAAAAGTCAAAATACAAATATAGGGATCAAAATAAAAAGTTGTGTGATCATGGCTTTTTTGGGAAAAACTGACACCCAGCTTCTTCCTTCATTCCATTCAAATTGGATTCCTTATTTTATTTTATTTATTTATTTATTTATTTTGCGGGACGCGGGCCTCTCACTGTTGTGGCTTCTCCCGTTGCGGAGCACAGGCTCCGGAAGCGCAGGCTTAGCGGCCATGGCTCACGGGCCCAGGCGCTCCGCGGCATGTGGGATCTTCCTGGACCGGGGCACGAACCCGTGTCCCCTGCATCGGCAGGTGGACTCTCAACCACTGCGCCACCAGGGGAGCCCTGGATTCCTTATTTTAAACATTGATTTTTCTTTTAGGCTGAACAAATCCTGGCAGAATTTAAGGTCAGGGCCCTGGAATGTCACCCTGACAAGCATCCTGAAAACTCCAAAGCTGGTAAGTATTTAATAATGGCTGTTTCTCATGAAAATGTAGAGCATAGAGATCTAAAATGGCTTTAATAGTAACTTCATTTTCTTTTATCTATTTACACTCAAAATTATTCTTTCATTCAATGTCAAAGAATATTTTTGCACTATCAGATGGAAGGTGAGGAGGGAATTGGGTAAGGTCTATCTTTCTAACAGTAGTCATTTGATATTCATTTATCTTTCTGCTATAATGTTCTGCTTTATGGTTTCAAATCTGTCCAGTTTATGCTTTATTTCACCAGTTCTCAAATGTTAACATGACTTAAATATGTTTGTAACCAGGTGGCTGTCTTGATGAGAACCTTGCTGTGTTTTCTTCATTTTGAAGACCTGAATAGGTCCATATATATTATATAATAATATATTCGCACATTTGTTTTTTCTTTATCATATTTTACATTTCATGATCATAAATTTATGCATAAATGCTTTTGTGTATCTCAGCTTGAAAAAATACAAGCAAACCAATAATCCTTCCTTAACCTGTTGCCCTCCTGCTCCTTCCCTATCTCTTGCCTTCCCTTTAGAGCCAAACTTCCTGAAAAAGAAGTCCACAGTTGGTATCTCTACTTCCCTTTTGCCCTTTTCAATTTATCCCAGTCTTCCTCCTCACCTTTCTAGGAAACAGTTCTTGTAATAGTCACTAAGGACTTCCTGGCTGCCAAATTCAATGGCCCACATTGTAGTCCTTACCTTCCCTGAGCTTGCATCAGAATTTGGTACTATTGACCATGATCACCTTTTTTTTTTTTTTTTTTTGCGGTACACAGGCCTCTCACTGTTGTGGCCTCTCCTGTTGCGGAGCACAGGCTCCGGACGCGCAGGCTCAGCGGCCATGGCTCACGGGCCCAGCCGCTCCGCGGCATGTGGGATCTTCCCGGACCGGGGCACGAACCCGTGCCCCCTGCATCGGCAGGCGGACTCCCAACCACTGTGCCACTAGGGAAGCCCCATGCTCACCTTCCTGACACTCCTTTTTCTTAGCTACCGTACGCCCTTATGCTTTTCCTCCTACTTCTTGGGCTGCTCTTTCTGTCTCATTTGTGACTTCCTTCCCTTCTGTCCTAAGGTTCCCTTCTAAACTCTCTTCTGGGTTTACTCCCCATTTTTTCTCTGGAGTTTTGTCCAAGTCTGTGGTTTCAATCATCAGCTATTTGTTGATGGCTCTCCAATCTATCCTTAACTCAGTTCTCATTCCTCAGTTTCAGACTGTAGCTTCACCTGCTTCTTGGAAATCTCCTTTTGGAGACAATTCAAAGTCACTCTGTGAAAAACTGGACTTGTTATTCATCCTCCTCTCACCTCTTAAAATCATGCTCATTTTTCTATGTTTCCCCATCTCAATAAATGGCACCACCATTCATTCAGTTGGTCAGGCAAAAACCTGTCTCCTTCCTCTGCCTCACATCTACATCTGATTGACTACCAAATGCTGGTGATTTGCCTTCCTCATCTCTCTCCTGTAGGTCCTCTTCCCTCCATCCTCAGAGCCACTGCGGTAGGTAAGCCACTATCATTTCATGCCTGAATCCTTACAGGACTCCTTTAATTGCTTCACACTGCAAATAGTGGTCTTTCTTTCTAGTTATGGAAAGAAATGAAAGATTTAATATGTATAAAACAGTACAAAGAATACTATAACAAATGCCCATGTGTGTATCACACAGCTTAAAACTTTACCAGTGCAGTTAAAATCTCTTGTGTATTCCTACCCTGATTTTACCCTCAGGGTAGGTAATACTATCTTAAATTTGATGACTATGTTTACTATATGTACATACTATAGGTATGTGTATAGTATGTGTATAGATGTGATTTTTCTATAAGGAAAATATTATGATTAAGACCTGTCTATAACTCCATATTTCACAAATGGTAAGACCCAACCCCTCTTCATTAAAAAAGTTTACCTTATCGTAAATCTCTTAATTACTTTTCTATAGAAATCATTGATCCCTTTGATTTGTATAAACAAGTCATTTTCCAGTGTATGAAGTCATCTTTTGTTAGATACTTAACTATTATTTCTGCTCATTTGACCCTCCTCCTTTTTCTTGGCCACGACACATGGCTTTCAGGATCTTAGTTCCCTGACCAGGGATTGAAGCCAGGCCCCCTGCAGTGGAAGCATGGACTCCTAATCACTGGGCCACCAGGGAAGTCCCTCCCCTTTTTCATTAAGGCAATGTGAACAAATCATAAGTGTAAACCTGATAAATTTTTGTCCACATATAACCAGTTTAACCACTGCCCAGATGAAGATGTAGAACATTTCCACCACCCCAGGGAAAGTCCCTTTTCATATCCTGTTCAATGTCAGCACCCTCTCCCATTTTTGGATCTTATCATCATTGATTAGTTTTGCCTAGTTTTGAATTTCATGTAAATGGAATCACACAGTATGTATTCTTTTGCATGTAGCTTCTTTCGCTTTACCTTATGTCTGTGATATTTGCCCGTATTGTACGTGTAGCGATAGCTCATTCTTTGCCATTGCTGGGCCTTTAGGTACAAGCCCCTTCATGCTGTGCTCCCCCCACTTATCTCTCTATCCTCATTTTCTCTCCACCACCATGCTTACAACCCCATGTTTCAGCCACTCACAACTACCTTGGTTCCTTGATGTGCCCTGCTCTCCACTCTTTAGACCTTTATACCTATTGCTTTCTCTGCCTGGAACATCCCCGAGGCCTGCCCACATCCCTGCCCTGCTTTTGATTGGTTGGGTCATGCTCCTGATTCAGGTCTCAGCCTAGCCATCACTTCCTCTGGGATTTATGTGTGCCCCAGCTACCCAGAGCACCCTGCGTATACGTCAGGTGGCCAACTGTGTATCATATTGTCCTCTTGTTGACAATTTGCTTATTAGTCATACTGGAAGCTCAGTGAGCCTGGCTTCCTGCTTATCTCCTTCAAAGTGGTATGCCTTGCACCTAGCACAGCACCTGCAGTGGAGGACAGCTACTTTGTGCACATAATTTCTTGAATGAGTGAAAGAATGAACTTGTGAACATTTCTGTAGGAGACATATGAATTACCTCTCTAAACTAGAGTTAATATTAAGATAGATGTCCTAGCATAAAAGTATAAAAATTTGATAAACACTTAAAAAACCCACCACCACAGATTATTCTTTAACTGGGTTCCTCTGCAGTAAAGCATGGCTTTGAGTTGTTTTTCTGTCCCCAGCAAACAATTTCTATTCAGGGTGCATGATGAATCATTGTGCAATCATTGCCATTCTAGTTGCCATAGTGTTAGGAGTTTTCATGTACGGGCTACCACAAGGCTTCTTGTTCAGGGAAACACTGGACTGTGTAAATATTGTTTAAAATGAAAAGGTACACAGACATCAAAATCTTCCCTTGTAAGGCTTGCAGTAGATAGATGATTCAACCTTTGGGTAGAAACTGCTTTGAAATCTGTTTAAGCATCCATTTCCTTAATTTGGATTAATATGGCTTTCTGAAAGTTTAAGTGGTTCTTTACACACTTGGAGAAGGGTTAAGGTTACTGATAAAAATATTTAAAAATGTGAAACAAAAATTCACCCTGATGCTGATTTTAGCTTGACTGAAATCCAGAATATATTGGACAGATTTTGAAACATATTTCATTAAGGTGAAAGGCTAAGCCTTTAGAACAACTGCAGGTAGAAGAAATTAAACTTGTATATACACTTTTTTGGTTTGCTAAATGTAGTCTCAACCGCTGCCACTGAAATGACTGATTTGGTAGCATGACGGAGTAGTAGATATGAACACAGGTTTGTCTGTCTGGATTGCTCCTAGCTCCCACTTATGAGCTAGTTGATTTTGGGCAACCTCTTTGAGCCTCAACATACTCCTAGGTAGAATGGGTAGACTAATAGCATATTATTACTTCATGTGTTTGCTGTGAGGATTAAATGATGTATCTTGCATGTAGGAAGAACTCAATGAATGTTGGCAATTATGAGTCAGTGGACTTTCTTTCCTTGTTTTTATGCAGCATTCCAAGATAAAAATTTAACAAAATGGGACAGTTTTCTCTTTGTAAGTAAACATTAGATCATTCTCACTCTCATTAAAAAAAAATCTAAATCTAAGGCTTTTAGAGATCTTTGCTCTGCAGTTATGGGTGATGGAGGCAGGACTGGTTGTGCTATAGAAATTGTGTCACTGAGATCAAAAGCCCCTGGCTGGTACTCATGCCAGTCCTATGTGCACATAACAGTAATGGTTTCAGGCCAATGCTTTATTAACTTGTCTTTGAGCCTGAAGAAAGGGATTTCAAACTAAATTAAGGACCCGTGAAATGGTATTTTTGTTATTGATTTGCAGGCTTCAAAGACATTTGAATATTTGAAGAAGGGGAACTCTTTGTCTCTTACTGGCTGAAATATTTCGATGTTTCAATGTTTTTGTACTTTAAAATCTCTTTATTGCTTTTTCCCCCTTGGAATAAAAATAACATACAGTGTTAAATAATGTTGAAAGTGAAAGTCTGCTCTTATCTCTTTTTGCTAGAGAACCACTATTAACAGTTGGTGTATTTTCCTCCAGATTGTTTTCAAAGCATGTCCTGATATCATATTATTATTATTATTTCTCAAGTAATTGTAAGTGGTCTACATTTAAATTGTGGCTATAATAATAATAATACAAATTATACTATGAAATATGAATTAAAAGAACCTCGTATTTTCAAAGTAGACCTAGGAGTTAAATCAGAATGTCTCTTAAAGGTTCCATCATCATTTGCTTGTATAAGCTTATAAAATGAGATCTCTCTTCCCAGAACTGGTATATGTTTATCTTGTATGATTCATTTGATTAGTGGATATATTAAAGGACAAATATAAATCCAAACTCACTTTTATTAAATGTGGTGAAGGGTATGGAACAAGGAAAAGGCCACCTAACAGGAAAGGTAAGGTCTCTTTTGCTTTCTGCTTATCAACTGCTGTTGAGGGATTGATATTAGAATAATTCTTTCATTCCGGAAACTCTGGAAAATGAGGCCAACAATAATGTGCAAACAGAAGGTAAATCATAGATAAAAATGTAAACCTTTACAGCCTCTGCTCTAGTAGTAACTGGCATGTGCATCCATGGTGATAATTTAATGAGCTTTTTATCCTGTTGGAAAAAGTGACACGTCATTTATACATTGGGACATTTACACTGTCGTCAGCAACAGGAAGGATTTTACTCACTGGAGCTAGCAGCTATTGCAAGATGTTTTTTATGTGTTTGTTTTCCTCAGGTTTTTTTTTTTTTTTTTTTTTTTGCGGTACGCAGGCCTCTCACTGCTGTGGCCTCTCCCATTGCAGAGCACAGGCTCCGGACGCGCAGGCTCAGTGGCCATGGCTCACAGGCCCAGCCGCTCCGCGGCATGTGGGATCTTCCCGGACCGGGGCACGAACCCGCGACCCCTGAATCGGCAGGTGGACTGTCAACCACTGCGCCACCAGGGAAGCCCCTTCCTTAGCTTTTAATAACCCCATCTTTAGGGTCTTCCCTTTAATCTATTAATTCCTACTACCTCCAGCAGTGATATTAAATATTCAATGACCTATTACGTACCTGTGCTGCCCAGCTTTGGACAGGGTCCTGGAGGTGCCCTGCCATGGTTGGCAGTACCTCTGGCTGCTGGAGGAACACTTGAAGTGGTGGTGTTTGGGGGATTAAAGCTCAGGAAGAGCAGCTCTGTACCAACTGAGGTACAGAAGTATTTCAGTAGTTTCACAATTGGTATGGTGGTACCATCAGTATTGACTGTACATTTGCCCTAACATCTTCTGTACCAGAGGATATTGACTACTTCCTGTGAGGTATTTTTAAGCACCATCAGGATAATTTTAATTATTTTTCCAAGTCATACTATTAAAACGTGCCTAATTCACAAAATGTTTTAAGGGCATGTGTCATTTCTTTGGTGCTTAGAGCTCAGGGAATAGCATTATATGAATATCTTTATATTCACATCCAAATTGGAAGCATTCACTCATTCATTCATTGAACAAATACTTTTTGAGCACCTACGACACTGCTCTAGTACAAGGGATGCAGCAGAAACAAAACAAAGTCTCTGCCTTCATGGGGTTTGTATTCTCATGGAGGAGACAGATCATAAACAAATAACTATATATAATGTCAGGGAGTACTATGAAGAAAAGTAAAGCAGGGCAACGGAGATAAAGGAATGGGGCTGATGGAGTGGGCAGTTATTTTATGTAGCATGGTCAGAGAAAACTCCATCGACAAGACAACATCTGACCTGACATCTGGAGGAAGTAAGTCATGTGAGTGCTTGGGGTGAAAGTCTTCTCGGTAGAAAGGACAGCAAGTGCCAAGTCCTGGGGCTGGAGTGTGTCTGGTGTACTCAAGGAACATCAGGGAACCTACTATGGCTGTAGCAAGGGAGATGGGAAAAATAGGAGAAATAGGAGGGGACTTTCCTGGTGGTCCAGTGGTTAAGAATCTGCCTTCCAATGCAGGGCACGCGGGTTAGATCCCTGGTTGGGGAACTAAGATCCCACATGCTGTGGGGCAACTAAGCCCACGTGCCACAACCACTGAGCCCGTGCACCACAACTAGAGAGCCTGAGTGCCACAACTACTGAGCCCATGTCCCACAACTAGAGAGAAGCCTGAGCACTGCAATGAAGAGCCCGTGTGCTGCAATGAAAGATCCCGCATGCTGCAACTAAGACCCGACACAGCCAAAAATAAATAAATAAATAAATATTTAAAAAACTGAGGTCAGAGAAGGAAGAGAGGGGCAGAGGGCAGGCAGAGCATGTCAGACCTAGTAGCCACAGTAAGAATTTTCAATTTAATTCTAAGAGAAATTAAAAGTCAAAATGGAAGTAATTTTGAGCAGAAGAGTGACATTATGTGACTTTTTTTTTTTTTTTTTGGGCCGTGTGGCTTGTGGGATCAGCTTCTGGGATCTTAGTTCCCCGACCAGGGATTGAATCCGCACCCCCTGCAGTGAAAGTAGAGTCCTAACCACTGGACCGCCAGGGAATTCCCTATGTGACTTATTTTTAAAAAGATCACTCTGACTGCTGTGTAGAGCACAGACTGAGGCAAAGGCAGGGAGATCAGTTGAGAAGCTAGTATAATAATCCAGCCAAGAGAGGATGGTGGCTTGGACCAGAGTGATGGCAGTGGAGGCGGGGACAAGAGGTCAGGTCTTGGATACATTTGAAAGTAGAGCCAACAGGATTTGCTAATGAATTAGAAATGAAATGTAAGAGAAAGAGAAGAGTCAAGGATGACTCCAAGTGTTTAGAAAACTAGTACAGTATGTCCTGACTCCCCATGCAGAACCAGTCTTGCTTCTATATTTCTCTTTATCACACTGTATTGAAATGATTTGCTTATAAGTCTGCTTCCTTACTAGACTCTGAGTTTCTCAAGGGTACAACCTGGATCTTAGTGATGAATAAGGAAGATTTTTATTATCCCTGGAGATTAAGGAGAAAGTGGAGATTAGAGGGTCATATGTATTGCAGGAAAATGGAAGGGGCAGGAAGGTAGTCAAGTGTAGCCTTCCTAGCTGGGGAGCCTGGCAGGCTTGGGTTTGAATTGTGGCTCCATCACTTGTAGCTTAGGGACTTGGGGCAAGTTATATGAACCTCCTTCAGCCTTAGACTATGTAAAATGTGAATAATACTAATAATATCCACCTCATAAAATTGTTGTGAACACAAAAGAAACTCTATATTCATTAGCAATCACTTCCCATTTCCCCCTGCCCAGCCCCTGGCAATCACGAATCTAATTACTGTATAGATTTGTCTATTCTGACTATTTCATATAAATGGCATCACACAGTAAGTGGCCTTTTGTGACTATCTATCTTCTTTCATTTAGCATAATGTTTTCACGGTTCATCCATGTTGTAGCATATACCACACTTTGTTTATCCACCTGTTGGTTGACAGACATTTGAGTTGTTTCCACTTTTTAGCTAGTATGAATAAAGCTGCTATGGGCATTCATATACAAGTTTTTATATGTGTGGACATATGTTTTCAGTTCTCTTGAGTATATACTTAGGGTTGAAATTCTTGGGTCAAATGGTAATTCTATGTTTAACATTTTGAGGAACTACCAAACTGCAGTTCAAAGCAGGAACATTGTTTTACAATCCCACCTGTATGAGGCTTCCAATTTCTCCACATCCTCACCGACACTTGTTATTATCTATATATTTTTTTTCGGTACGCGGGCCTCTCACTGTTGTGGCCTCTCCCATTGCGGAGCACAGGCTCCGGACGCGCAGGCTCAGCGGCCATGGCTCACGGGCCCAGCCGCTCCGCGGCATGTGGGATCTTCCCGGACCGAGGCACGAAACCGTGTCCCCTGTATCGGCAGGCGGACTCTCAACCACTGCGCCACCAGGGAAGCCCGTATTTTATTTTTTTGATGCTATTGTAAATGGAATTGTTTCCTTAATTTCATTTTCAGATTGTTCATTGCTAATGTATAGAAACACAATTGAGTTTTGTATATTGGTCTTGTATCCTGCTCTACAGAAAGTTTTAACTTCACTGAGGAGCAGAAGACATATTGGAAGTGTTTCCAACAGGTCTTCAAAAGTTTCTATTATATGCCATCTGGTCAAATAGATCAGTGACAAAGCTACCATTTATCAACCACCTACCATGTTATTTCCTGTGTTTAAAACCTCCCAGGAGCTTCCCATTGCTCTTACAAGAAAAAACAGACCAGAATCCTTAGCATAACCTCTAAGGTCCTGGGTGACCGGGTCCTTGTCTACTCTACAGGCCCACCCCTCATTGTTCTTCCCCTGACCCGTGTCTTCCTGCCAAACTGGCATCCTCTACTTCCTCTAAATAAACATGGTTTTTTGTTTTTTTGTTTTTTTTGCCTTAGAGTCTTCATTTACTCTGTTCCTCTAGCCTGCTCATTACCCTCTATCACACTACCACTAGAAAAGGTAGTTTTCTTACTAGTAGACAAGATTGTAATTTTCCCAATGTTTATAAACGTCTATCCTGTGAGGTAGATTATTATGTCTATTGTTCACATCTGTGTCATCAGCACCTGGGAGAGCACCTGGCACATCACTGGAGCTCAGTAAAGGGAGTGGATAAACAGTGAGCCAGGTACATTATGTACAAAATCTCACTTGTCCTTGTGATGCACTTTACAAATGAGGAAACTAAAGCTTGATGAAGTGAACTGGCCCAAGGTTACACAGCTGGTAAATAACAGAGACATATTTCAGTGAGATCAGTTAGACTGTATGGGAGTTTAAAAATAACTCCTCCGGGAAAGTAGTGCTCATTTTAAAATTTGTTTTCTAGTGGAGACTTTTCAGAAACTGCAGAAGGCAAAGGAGATTTTGACTAATGGAGCAAGTCGAGCCCGCTATGACCACTGGCGAAGGAGCCAGATATCGATGCCATTTCAGCAGTGGGAAGCTTTGAGTGACTCGGTGAAAACGGTAGGTTTCTCTCTGGGATTAACTGAATTTATGAAGCTCAGGCTGCCCCTGGATTAGACTCACATAGTAGCTTAAAGAGTCAGCAGACAAGAGGAGAGAGAAGACCAAGAGGCTGGTAGTATCTAGATATAACACAGTGTCCACAAAATCCTGTGAAGGGAAAGTCAGTACATCAGGGCCAGAAGAGCCTCTGACTACATTTGTCAGTCTCTTTGGCTGTTTGATTCAGTATATGTATATGCTCCCCGTTATCATTTACTGTTTTATACATTCTGATAACTGTGCTTCTCAAGTTGTTCATATAATACTGCCGAACCTTGAACCATTGCAAATTCATATTCTCCATCTTTTTAGTTCATATGAGCCTGTTCTCTTCTCAAGGCTTAATAAATTCAATAAAAAATAGGACCTGGGCTTCCCTGGTGGTGCAGTGGTTGGGAGTCCGCCTGACGATGCAGCGGACACGGGTTCGTGTCCCGGTCCGGGAAGATCCTACATGCCGCGGAGCGGCTGGGCCCGTGAGCCATGGCCGCTGAGCCTGCGCGTCCGGAGCCTGTGCTCCGCAACAGGAGAGGCCACGACAGTGAGAGGCCCGCGTACCGAAAAAAAAAAAAAAAGGACCTAATTAATCAAAGAAAGCTGTAAATTATTTGTAAATTATTCGCATTATTAATTCTGGTGAAAGAATTGTTGCATAGATGCAGAGAGACTTTTTAAACCATTGTGTTATTTTCCTTCATGGCATTAGAAAAGGTAAATACAAAATAATCTCTGTAATTACTGTGTTATGTATTTATTTTGTTCTTCCATGGACCTTTGTAGAGAAAATATAATTTTAAAGGTTTTTATATTCTTTTTTTTGTGTGTGTGTGGTACGCGGGCCTCTCAGTGCCGTGGCCTCTCCTACTGCGGAGCACAGACTCCGAACGCACAGGCTCAGCAGCCACGGTGCACGGGCCCAGCCGCTCCGCGGCATGTGGGATCTTCCCGGACCGGGGCACGAACCCGCGGCCCCTGCATCGGAAGGCGGACTCTCAACCTCTGCGCCACCAGGGAAGCCCAGTTTTTACATTCTTAGACATGATTTATTTTCTGGCTTTTTTTTTACAGGGACATTTTTCAATAACATGAGACATAGAATGCATAAGTTACCTTATAAGGAAGTCTTAAGGGACATATTAGAATTAGTGTATAAAGTGATTCACATCTCTTGAATTATAGCTCTTCAAGGTTACATTTAGATTCCTTCTGGATAGTTTTTATTTTAAGGAGACTTGAGCAAATTGTTTTGTCACTGATAAAAAACCTGCAACAATGAGGGAGGGTCTTTGAAGTAATGGGGAAGAACAATGAAAAACTCTCAAGGAATGTAGTTAAAGCTACTCTACATAACATGTAAACTGTTTTCTTAATCTCATTTTGGAATGCAGTGTATATTCAAATGGTTTAAGGTGGGTTAAGTACTTATGAAGGACTAACCATAAGATGGTTGAATATATACACAAAATAACTAGAGAGAATCTCTAAAAAAATAGTGACAGCTTCACATACACAAAAATAAGATTTTTTTCTTTTACATTGTGTATATCCAAAATTCCTTGTTAACACTGACTAAATAAACATTGTTCTGCCACCTCTACATAACTATTTCTAGTCTCTTGAGTGCTACACACTGTAACTGCTACTGAATTAGTGACTCTTGTTATTTTAACGCCTTTTGATTTATAGTTCATTTTGCTTGATGATCCACTGAACTCTATTACTTAACTTTAACTGCTAATATCAAGTTAGCTGTGGATTTTTCAAAAACTCTTCTCCAAGCCCCTGCTCTAATTTATATTGCAGACGTCTTTCCATTAAATACTAATGTCCTGTCTCCAAACACATCGTTTCTGCTTAGAATTTAGCTTAACTATGAACTCTTTGAGGTCTTACAATAATTACATATCAGATCTTACTGGCTGCATCATTAGTCTTGTCAGCAAACTTGAAATATTATGCTGGGCTAGCATTTGGTTCAGGATTTATTCTTATTAGTGGTACAAAAATGATGAGATGCATATCCTATTTTAAATCAGCAGTGATATTTTTCCTTGCACAGTCTTCTTTGGGCTCAACCTTGTCGTTTCTGACTTACTTTTGTTCTATTCCTCAGTGAACTTTGAAACCCCTATACCAAATTTCATGTGTTTTGTACCTCATTCGATAGATTTTCCGAAACTTCCTTTCATTCCTTTCTGTTCTAATCCTCACAGTGACTTCTGCATGTGAAAACCTCACCTCTCTCTATAACATTTTAGTTGTTTTTTTGTGTGTGTGCATTTCATCTGTCCATCCTTTCACACTCACTACTCTAGAGAAATTAATAACAATTGCCATACCTAGTATTGCTCATCACCTATTAGATCACCATCTTTTTGTAGATAAACATCACCATTAGGGTGTTTGGATTAGGTATATTACATAGGTCATTCTGACAATAAAATGGTTATAATTTAGGATTATAGGTGAAATTTTAGGTGACGTTTATCTAAAACACATCTGCATGTTCTCTTGCCCTAAAAGTGCAGGACAAATCACAATGTACTTTTGCAGCGTCACACAGGTTCATAATACAGGAATCTCCTTGGGAGAATTCCTCAAATGAACCATAGCTTCAGGGTGGACACATTTCTATCATCCAAGAGTGATGAAACTCTAATTGGTATTTTTTTTTCCTAACACCAAGTCCCTGTCACTTCACTAGCTATTAAGTTTTCTTTTCCATTTTAGAAGTTCCTCCTGATAGTCTAATTTGTAAAAATATTTTAAGAATTCATTCAGGTCAGTGAATATGCTGGAAATTTAAGTCTAGATATGTGATGCTGGTTTAAAAAAAGGGACTATGAAGTGAGGACTTCAGTAACTGTGGCCTTTGGGATCTTGGAATAACTTGAAAACAGACACCTTTCCAGCTCAAAGAATCTTAGAGAAATCCTCCTTGTCTTGCTAAATGGTTTTACCCCAAGGGATCCAGGGTATGAATGGCTCTCCCTCTTGCTCCAAAATATATGGCTTTAGGATGGTTGTGGGAAAATGGTTGCAGTCAAAATAAAATTCTGAGAAAAAATTCTCATAAGTCGTTAAAAATGTCCCATGCTGTACCAATTGCTACAAATGCTTTCAAAGTGTTTACTATAGGTCAGTCATTAACCCTCACCACCCATCTAAGGCAGACTGTAGGCACTTTTATTCCAAAAGAAAAGTACTGAGGCAAGAGTTGAGGGCTTCCCTGGTGGTGCGGTGGTTGAGAGTTCGCCTGCCGATGCAGGGGACACAGGTTCGTGCCCCGGTCCGGGAAGATCCCACATGCCGCGAAGTGGTTGCGCCCGTGAGCCATGGCCGCTGAGCCTGTGCTGCGACAACATTGAGAGGCCCGCGTACCGCAAAAAAAAAAAAAAAAAAAAAAAGTTGATACATTGTATACAGGCCACCTAGCTGACCTGTGATACATACATCTAACGTTTTCAGCTCTTGATACATTGTATACAGGCCACCTAGCTGACCTGTGATACACACATCTAACGTTTTCAGCTCTTTTCATTAACTTTCTCAATATCTTTCCCCCTCCACAAACGAAGCCACTGGCCAGCCTCCTCTATTCCGCTCACATGTAAAAAACCCAAGAAACTAAGCAAACAAAACAACAAACCAAACCAAGCAGATTATATTTTACACTAGCTGAGGCCATTGCCTCTTTTTAAAATTAACATTTTTATTTTGATATAAAACCTACAGAAAAAAATGCTTAAAACCTGCATTTACAGTTTAGCAAGTGGCTGTGAAGTGTATACTCTGTATACACCACCCCTCACCCCAACACACATATTACTGGCACCGAGAAGCTCCCTCCTTATATTGATATATTTTGGCAACCATAACTCAATCTAATTTTTAAACTCTAGTTGTACATATGTATAATCTTGTCATAGAAAATTTAGAACACACCAAAAAATAAAAAGAAAGAAAAGAAAAAATAACTTCACAATGCTGCCATGCAAAGATAACCCCATTTGTATTTTGGTACATTTCCTTCCAGTGTTTTCTGTCCTTCATTTGTTAGTGTGAGAGCCGGTTACACTGAATGGTGGCAGTAACTGCTTTATGGGGTCTTTTTTTGGGGAAGAGGATTCAGGATGACGCTCCTCTGCAGTTGGGGAGAGATAGGTTGAATGTGGGAAGAAGTGAGTTTTCAGGTTGGATTAGGGCAGAAGGCTTGAATATACTTAAGGTTTTAGGCTGTGTACAGGCTATATTGCCCTCCAGTCTGTATATTTTATGTATATATCTATATATTTATATATCTATATTTGAATATATCTTTCCAGCTTTTAATTTAGTTGAGATCATGCTATTTGTGATCATATTGGCTATTATTTATAAATACCATGTCATTAACATTTCCCAATTCTCTTAAAAAATGATGATGAACAGATTTATTTAAAAGAGTCCAAGAAGGCATTTTACCCCTTTGTACTTTCTTTGTACCCCTTTCTTCATGGTGAGGTACTTCTCCTGGCTCCTGCCTGTGTGCACAGTGTTAATGCTCCTGAGACAGGTCGTAAGAAATTGTGGTATCTCTCTAAGCTCTTTAAGGTGCTAGTGATCTCTGCCCCTTCCCCGCCACCTCCCACTTCCCACCTCCCTCCACCCCACGGAGCGAACTTGGCCAAATACACACATAATGGGCCACCGCCTGCCTACGTTGATTTGTTTAAACTAGCAAATAAAGTGGTGCTCTGGGGAGAAGCTGGCAACCGCAGTATTTTGAGATAGTTCAGACCTCAGTGCGCTAAAGATGAAAAGCCCGATGCCCCTTGCAACATGGGGCACGTGTGTAGCAGAGGCAGTGGCCCCTGCCATGGTTTGTGGCACAGTTTTTTTTTTTTTTTGTGGCACAGTTTTTAAATGTCACAACTTCTGAGCTTATTCGCTAAGCCTTGGACTTTAGAAAAATCAATGTTTTATTTGGTTTGGTTTCTTTGCTTTGCTTTTATTCTGTTTTTTTTTGCAGCACAGGAAAAGAATATCCTGGATATTAGGAGGATAATATATTCTGGGTTTTAAAGTTGCCCAAATATGTGGCTTATGGGTTTTTCTTGGGTTTCTGAGCAACAGAGGTAGTATGTTACTGTTCAGCAGTGCTTCAGAAATAGCACCCCACAATATCCAGATGAGGTTTCAAGAAACAGTTATGTTTATTATTTTGGTTGATGTCAGGGCTAATTATTCTACTTGAAATATTCTTGACACAGCAAACTCTCACTCTTTCTTACTCTGTATTCATCTATTTGTCTTTTCATTTATCTACCCATCCATCCAATTTTAAACATTTTAATAGGAAACACAGGGAGTTTCCTGACGGTCCAGTGGTTACGAGTGGTGCTTTCACTGTTGTGGCCCAGGTTCAATCCCTGGTCAGGGAACTAAGATTCTGCAAGCCACACAGTGCAGCCAAAAAAAAAAAAAAAAAAAAAAAAGACAAAGGAAATACATATACAGGACACACGTGAAAAAGGTACAAAAGGATGTATGGGGAAAAGTAATTGTCTTGTGCTTTTGTTCCATTTTGAAGATCCATTTTTCATTTTTTCCTCACTCCTAACACTACCATCAGAAGCCAGAGCTAGGCTGGAAAAATTACACCATTAAGTTACTTGGCAAAGGACCACCACCCAAGTATATTGGACGCAGTTCTAGGATGTCAGGTTTCTGGGGGGTGTTTTCAAGTGTTTTGGATATTGTGTTTGTCTAAAAATATAAAAGTTTTACCAGAAGTTAGTGGGCAATGCCCAACACTTGATTTATGGTCCCTGATTTTTTAAAATTGTAAATTAAAAAAATATAATAAAACAACACTTTTGTTAAAAAAAATCAAAATAGTACAATAGGATATGTAATAAAAAGTGAGTCCATCCTTATTCCAGACTCCAGTTCTACTCCCCTCTCTCAAAAAGCCACCATTGCAGTTTCTTGTGTTTCCTTCCAGAAACCTTCCATACAGTATACACATACACATTCATATTATTATTAAAAAATGGAAAGATATTTAGAAAGTTCTCATTATTTTGATGATAACTGGACTTTAAGTGAATCCACTTAAAATTAGGACAAATATTTCACAGTAAATATTGACTGACTTTCTGCTTTGTGCCATGAGTTTTCTTAAAGAGAAGATGTATAACCCAGAATTCTAATATTTGCCAACACTTCATTGATCATGGCTGGATGGAAGGTCACAATAGTAGAGTGGGGATAGTAGTTACAACAGTAGTTAGGTTTAATCTCTGGCATGGCTCAAGGTACACAGCCCAGTTGTCTGTTTTTTGATAGTAAAATACACAGAAAACTTACCATTTTAACCATTTTAAAGTGTACATTTCAGTGGCATTAAGTACCTTCCCAATGTTGTTTACCCATCATCACTATCTAGTTCCAGAACTTTTTCATCACCCCAAAAGGAAACCCTGTACCTGTTAGCAATCACTCCCTATTCCCCTCTCTCCAGCTTCTGGTAATCACTAATCTGCTTTCTATCTGTATGGATTTGTCTATTCTGGAATTATACAATATGTGCATTTTATTTCTGGCTTCTTTTACTAAGCATAGTGTTTTCAAGGTTTATCCACTTTGTAGTACTTTCCTCCTTTTTTATGGCCAAATAATATTCCGTTGTATGAATATGTCACATTTTTGTTTATTCATTCACGAATTGATGGACATTTGGATTGTTTCCACCTTTTGGCTCTTGTGACTAGTGCTGCTATGAACACTTGAGTTTAAGTTTTTCTTTGAACACTTGTTTTCCATTCTTTTGTGTCTAGGAATTGAATTACTGGGTCATATGGTAATTTTATGCCTAATTTTCTAAGAAAACATCTCATTCTTGGAATCTCTCTGATGCTGGTCCCTTTGCTTTCTACCAGGATATGGATTTCTCCTTATATCATTAGTTTTCCAAATCAGTGAGGATTAATTGATTAACATCTGAATTAATTAATATCTGGCTAATAGTCAAGTCTAACATTTTGTTAATCAGCACTATAATAGTAGGTTAGGTGTTACCACATATTGAACTTTAAATATAGAAACTATATAATATTGATTTTATATTATACATCTGCTTTCAATTAATGTAGTCAATGCACTGGGCTACCAGAGGTAAAAAAGATCTGATGTTGGAAGAATCTGACCAGACTCACACCGATAAAACTGAAAATGAGGAATGGAATGAGCAAAAAGAGATAAAGAATGAGGAGTTCGGTCCAACCACAGAGAAAATGGAGCAAAAAGAATCCAAATCCATGGAGAAGTCATTCTCCTCACAAAATCCAGATTCTCCAGGTAAGTCATGTCATGTAGCTTTGCAGAACAGAGAAGGTGTGAAATTAAAAGGCTCGTTTTATATTGTATTTATTCTCAACCTTTCCAGCTACATAGTAGTGCCAAATATAAGGGCTGGTTTAGCACCTTAAAAGATACTTACCTAGCATTGACACAGAAACTAGAAGATATATTCCTTAATACATTCCTTGCAAGGGAAAACTTGAGACATTTCTGGGATCGTCATCCGCTTTACTAAAACAGTACTAGCTAACATGTGTTGGGAATTTACTACGTGTAGTTCTTTACTTTACATCTATTATCTTGTTTAATATTAATTTTACATATATTAATTTATTTAATCCTCATTACAAGTTTGTGAAGTTGGTACCAATATTATAAATTTATTTATTTGTTTTTATTTTTGGCTGTGTTGGGTCTTCGTTGCTGTGCGTGGGCCCTCTCCAGTTGCGGCCAGTGGTGGCCACTCTTCGTTGTGGTGAGCGGGCCCCTCACTGCGGTGGCCTTTCTTGTTGCGGAGCACGGGCTCCAGGCGTGCGGGCCTCAGCAGTTGTGGCACACAGGTTCTAGAGCGCAGGCTCAGTAGCCATAGCGCACGGGCCCAGCTGCTCCATGGCATGTGGGATTTTCCCGGGCCAGGGATCAAACCCATGTCCCCTGCATTGGCAGGCAGACTCCCAACCACTGCACCAGCAGGGAAGCCGAAGTTGGTACCAATATTATTCTCATTGTATAGATGAGAAAACTGAAGCCTAGAGAGGTTGAATAATTTTCTCAAGGTTATCCAGCTTGTATGTGGCAGGGAAGAGGTCTGAACTGAGGCAGTTTGGTTGCAGAGTCTGCATTCTAAGGCATTGCACTATCCTGAGAAGATACCTTACCTGTAAGTAGATTTATAGACATCTGACCCATGTATATATCCATTGAAGCAGGGTATTACAGAGGTTAAACTCTCGGCTCCCCAGCTATACTACCTGGGTTCATATCCTAGCTCTACCATTTATTATCTGTATTACTGGGTAAAAGTTACTTAACTTCTCTACACTTCAGTTTTCTCATCTACAAAATAGAGATCAGAATGGTACCTTCTCATAAAGTTACCATGAGGATTAAATGAGACGATCCATGCAAAATGCTTAGCACAGTGATTTGCCTACAGCAGGCCCTGGATAATTGTTAGCTGTTGTTATCATTTCTTTGTCTATCTGGCCATCCCACTGTATTTATCTTGTACAGATGTGTTATGTACACACACGTTAACTGTCCTCCAAATTCTTGATTCTCATGGTTGTGATACAACACCCCACTAGAATTTAGCCTTTAAGTAAAAGGTTCCTGAATGTTCTCGAACACTTCTTACAAAAAAGAAGATAATTCGATAGTTTGTGGTGAACTATATAGTCTTTCTAGAGACAGTCACTTCAAAACTCTCTCTGGGGAGAACTTTTACATGCTCACTACTTGTTGGGAATAAAGATTCTTAGAGCTTCCTTCAGGTGCCTCTGCTGGTTACCCAAGAGATCCTTTCATAGAGCCTGCAGTTGACTGCATCAGCCGCATAACTGGCAGTGGTTATAATATAACAAACCAATCAAAGCAGAAGCTCGAATGTCCTAAAAACAGTGTTTTAGGCAAACGTACCATACAAACACCCACCCACAGGCATTCACAGGCAAACACGTGAATGTTTCTCCATTTAGCCTTGGAATGTTCAGATCTGGGCTTCCGGAACCCTTGGGGCCTCCCTGTGACTATATGTTTCAGATTCAGACCTATTCTGAGTTCACCAGAGTTGAGGGGGTTGATCACGTCAGATTCTCACACTGAGGCCCCACTTAAATCCCTTTCATAAGATTCTATAAAGTTCTCTTTCTTTTCAAAAATAGTTATTTAGATATTTAAAAACCCCAAAGTAATATGAGCTTATCATTAAAAATTCAAAGAATCACATATAGACAACAATTTAGTGTCTACCCTAGTCTCATCCTTCTCTGCTTCTACTTCCTGAAGTAACCAATGCAGATGCCCAGGTGTGTCTCCTTCCATAGCCTTTGTTTGTCTATGCTAACAAAGGCATGTATAAGCATATGTTCGTTTGTGAGGGCTTTACAAATAAAGAATGGGGTTATACTGTGCACATTCCTCTCTGTTATACAGTAGCTAAGAGCACAGACTCTGGAACCAGAGCCTAGCTTTTCCCACTGATGAGTTGTGTGACCTTGGGCAAGTGAGATAACCTCTCTGTATTTGCATTTTCTTATCTCTATATATTAGTTAAAATGTTTGTGTCTACCTCTACCTTGTAAAGTCTTTTTTTTTTTTTTTTTGGCTGCGCTGGATCTTTGTTGCTGCGTGTGGGCTTTCTCTGGTTGCGGTGCGGGGGCTTCTCATTGCGGTGTCTTCTCTTGTTGTAGAGCAGGGCCTCTAGGCATGCTGGCTTCAGTAGTTGTGGTGTGCGGGCTTCAGTAGTTGTGGCTCACGGGCTCTAGAGCGCAGGCTCAGTAGTTGTGGCGCATGGGATTAGTTGCTTGGCGGCATGTGGGGTCTTCCCGGACCAGGAATTGAACCCGTGTGCCCTGCATTGGCAGGTGGATTCTTAACCACTGCGCCACCAGGGAAGCCTTTTTTTTTTTTTTGTAAGGTCTTTCTGAGAAGTAAATAACATATGTAAAATATTTAGACCTGGTACATGGCCATTGCTTTTTTTTTTTTTTTTTTTTTGCGGTATGTATACCTTTCACTGCTGTGGCCTCTCCCGTTGTGGAGCACAGGCTCCGAACGCGCAGGCTCAGCAGCCATGGCTCACGGGCCCAGCCTCCCCGTGGCACGTGGGATCTTCTCAGACCGGGGCACGAACCCGTGTCCCCTGCATCGGCAGGCGGACTCTCAACCACTGTGCCACCAGGGAAGCCTGGCCATTGCTTTTTTAATGTTAGCTTTTATTACTATGGGACTCCTCCTTAGACCCTTATATTTAGAATGAACTCATTAGAATGAACAGCTGATAAATATTCCACAGTGTAGATATATTGTAATTTACTCAGAACAAATTGTGATGCCAGTTTTGATACCCTCACATTGTGAAATGTATTCTCTTACTGTGGTTGAGGAATGAAGCAGAGGGGGTGAGAGGAGGGAGGATCACTGTTTTGAAAGCTGTTGTTGGAGAATAAGAATTACGCAATTTTGCTGAAAGCTGCATTTACCAGTATTTTCTTAATGTTGTTTAAGAGATTATTGGCTGTTCTGAGTAGTGCCTTAAAGTTGGGGTTTCATATGCCAAAAGCACAGTTGCCTGATTATTTATAATTTCATTTGACTGCAGTGTAAATTTTTATAACATCAGCATTTAAGAAATATTATTCATGTCAGCTTTACCAAGCCCTGAGTGGCTTCCCACATAACTTTTCAGCATTTTTGTTAATTTCCTCAAGCAGTGCTTGATATTTACTTTGAAGTTTGCCTTTTGATGCCTCTCCTGTGATGAGCTTCTATTAAATAGTCCCCATGATTTTCTGATTCTTCATTGCAACCAGGAAAATAAGGAGCATGGCATCTGAAAACCCATGTGCGAGACAATCTTACTTTTACTTTCTTTTCATTTAAATATGCAATAAATGTGCCTTCTGATGAATACAATTCTAGAATCAAACATCCTGGAGTAAAATAAAAACAAATGTAGCAGATGCTGTTGATGTGCTAACATATCCTCTGGGCATTGCCAACCCTACTGCTCCCACCAGAGTGCTTTCTCCGGCAGTGGGGCCGGCTTGGCAGCAGTGAGCGGGCAGTTAAGTACCAGGGAGTAAACACGCTCTGGGTGTAGCCATCAGATGATAATGAATGGGAGTGGGAGGCTAAATTCCCCAGCGCCTTCACCCCTCAAGTGGAATAACTCTCAGGGGTCTTTACAGACTTGGTTCCTTTCCCTACCAGGGTCTCCTGGGATCAACTCCCCAAGTTAGCCACTTGAATTCAAGTTCTTGTCTGGGGTCTACTTCTAGGTGGACCCAAACTCGAAAACATCTTTTCAAACTACAGAAATAACATGTATTTAGTGTAGAAATGTGAGAAAATATGGTCAAGCAAAAGGAAGAAAATACAATAACTTGTAGTCTTACCACTTAGGGAAATATGTATTATTGTTATTTTGGTATATTTTAAGATATGTTAGTATACCTAAAATGAAAAGGATATTACTGTACATATTTTGTGTGTGTGTTTCAATTACAGGTTGTCAGAAACAATTTCCTTTTTGCTTTTTCCCCAAATGGCAATTCTTTAGATTTTTTTCTCTGATAGTTCTAAAGAAAGTGCAGATCCTATTTTCCTGGGATAATCACTGTCAACTATTCTGTGTATATTTTTCCTACTACATATTTAGATAATATTTCAAATATCGATGGAGGCATATTTAATATATTATTCTGTAACCTGCTTTTTCATCAGCAATATTATAAAAGTAAAAAATGATACAAGGCATACTTGTTCATCGCAGAAAAATAAGAAAATACAGATAAACAAAAAAAGAGTATAAAAAATGAAAATCATATCTATTCCAACTCTTCAGGAATAGTTACTGTTAACATTTAAGGGTAATTACTTAGAGACTTAAAAAAATTTTATATAAATACCCATGTAAATATGAATTTATGAATGAGATCATGCTGTCTAAACTGTTTCGTAACTACCAGTTACTTAGCAATATGTTACGAACATTTTTCTATGATGATAAATATTAAAACATTGTTAATGACTATATCAAAGCCTTTTAACCAATTTTCTATTACTGAAGATTTAGACTATTTCTTTATTTTTTAAACATTTACAAATGGTATCATAATAAACATCCTTAGAGTTAAGCCCTTGAGCACATCATGATTATTTCATTAGGATAAATTTCTAGAAGTAGAATTATTGGCTTAAAGGTTTATACATTTTAATGAGTTTGATAAATATTGCCAAATTGCCTGCTAGAAGTTTTGCCAGTTTACACTTCCTCCAGTAGAGAATGAAAATGACCTTTTCTCTAATTTTCCACAAAGTTGTTTATTAGAATTTAAAAAAAAATCTTACTACTGTGGAATAAATTATTTGTATTTCCAGGGATTCTTTCCATTGACCGTCTACTTTTGACAGCTGTTTGAAAGTAGTTTCTAATTTGCTTGCAGATGAATTGTCAAAATTCCCACCACTGGAAGTATCTATAAATATCTTTTTATTAATAAGCATTTAAACACGTAAGGCCCTCTCATCCATATAAACCAATTCCTGTTCATAAGGATTCAATAGTCTGCTTATCCATTTCTGTAAGATATTAATAATTCATACCAAAGACTTACCCTTACATTTCACTTATTGCAATGAAATCTAATCAACAAGCTGTTTTACTATTATAAATAAGCTTGACTTTTCCTACCTCTGATTTTAAAATATTCTCTTCTCTCTTCTACAGGTTTTTCAGATGTGAACTGTTGGCACCTTCGTTTCCGCTGGTCTGGGGATGCTCCTTCAGAACTCCTGAGGAAATTCAGAAACTATGAAATATGAAATGTCCCTGCTCCACAGTGGGGAGAAGGAGAGGGAGGGAGGGAGAGAGACAGAGAGAGAGAGAGAGAGATCATTCCCTGCGCTGCCAACATACAGCCTTTGTTCAAATCTTAAAAATGTCATGTTTGTGAATTGCTGAGTACAAATTAATTCCTCCATCCTTGATCCTGTTCTCTCAATATGTTTTCTAAACAAGAAAATTTTCAGACTAGTTTCTTTCAATATTTGAGTAAATTACGGCTCTTAGATCCAGAGTAGATTGTATTATGTGCGTTTTCCTGTTAATGTTATTTATAGAAATCCATTAAAAATCGATCTCTATATTTAAATATTTTATTGATATACCATGATCTTTATGAGTGCTAGATGTACAAGAAATGTTTTCTGACTCTGGATTTAAAATGAAATGTGAAATTACTTGTCTAAACTCCATTGAATAAAATAAATAATTTTCCCAAACTTCATAATGAATTTATAATTCAACTGTATTTTGAAAATAATTTGAATAAGTATTTCTACTTCAATCTTAATAATTATAAATTTAAAAGGTTATTATTCATTTGAGAAAATGTCTTTACAAGATTTATTATATAGCAGGTGATAAACTTATAAACTATGTTCTAACTATGAAAATGGGCCTGTTACATAACACATCCTTTTTAGGTTGGAATTACTAGGTTTGCCATGTGTAGTCTATGGTTATTTTTTGTTTGGAAACAAGTGAATGAAAAATTAAGAAGAAAGATGATTTTAGAGCAGGGGTTGCTTGGTCAAAACAGAGTTTTCACTGGTCTATAGCAAAATGAAAAAAATACAAATATAGGAAGTTTTTTTTTTAAAAAATAAATCTATTTATTTATTGGCTGCGTTGGGTCTTCGTTGCTGTGCGTGGGCTTTCTCTAGTTGCGGCGAGCGTGGGCTACTCTGTTGTGGTGCGCGGGCTTCTCACTGTGGTGGCTTCTTTTGTTGCAGAGCACGGGCTTTAGGAGTGCAGGCGTCAGTAGTTGTGGCGTATGGGCTTAGTTGCTCCACGACATGTGGGATCTTCCCGGACCAGGGCTCGAACTCGTGTCCCCTGCACTGGCAGGCGGATTCTCAACCACTGCGCCACCAGTGAAGTCCCAGGAAGTTTCTTTAAAAAGCAAAATTATTCAAAAATTATGTCCTTCCTACCTTTGTGGTTTAAAATGTGCTTTTTTAAAAAAATTATTTATTTATTTATTTTTGGCTGTGTTGGGTCTTTGTTGCTGTGCGCGGGCTTTCTCTAGTTGCAGCGAGCAGGGGCTACTCTTTGCTGTGGTGCACAGGCTTCTCATTGCGGTGGCCTCTCTTGTTGCGGAGCACGGGCTCTAGGCACGTGGGCTTCAGTAGTTGTGGCACATGGGCTCAGTAGTTGTGGCTCACGGGCTCTAGAGCACAGGCTCAGTACTTGTGGCACACGGGCTTAGTTGCCCCGCGGCATGTGGGATCTTCCCGGACCAGGGCTCGAACCTGTGTTCCCTGCACTGGCAGGCAGATTCTTAACCACTTCGCCACCAGCGAAGTCCCCCAAAATGTGCTTCCTTTTATGAAATAGTATCATAGTAGATTGTATTGGTTTGTTGGGCTGCCATAACAAAATACCACAGACTGGGTGCCTTAAACAATATTTCTCATGGTTCTGGAGGCTAGAAGTCCAAGATCAAGGTGTGTGCATATTTGGTTTCTTTTGAGGCCTCTCTCCTTGCTTTGCAGATGGCCACTTTTTCCTCACAAAGTCCTTTCTTCTTATAAGGACATCAGTCACATTGGATTAAGCCCCCACCCTAAAAGGCTCCTTTAACTTCATCTCTTTAAAGACCTTATCTCCAAATAAGGTTACATTCTGAGGTACTGGGAGTTGGGACTTCAATAAATGAATTTTGGGGGAACACAATTCAGTCCATAAAATAGATGAAATCTTTTTTTTTTTTTTTTAACAAATACAACCCTGTATTGGTTCCCTTAATATTATTATTATTATTTTTGCGGTACGCGGGCTTCTCACTGTTGTGGCCTCTCCCGTTGAGGAGCACAGGCTCCGGACGCACAGGCTCAGCGGCCATGGCTCACAGGCCTAGCCGCTCCACGGCATGTGGGATCTTCCCGGACCGGGGCATGAACCCGTGTCCCCTGCATCGGCAGGCGGACTCTCAACCACTGCACCACCAGGGAAGGCCCCCTTAATATTATTTGAAGTTCTGCTGTTTTGTCAAATCCAAAAGTCAGGGCCAGACATTTAGAGAATTTTTCTACCACCATTTTACTACTTCAGTAAAATGGGATTTGTTACTATATCTGCAAATTTTATTTCAAAGATAGAAAGTAAATGCAAAAGAGATAGCACATTAAATGAATAAAATGAGCTTTAGGACTACAGTTGCCTGTCATAATGCCTGCCTGACCCAAGTGGGCACTCAAATAAATGCCAGATTGAATAAGTGAATTTTTCAATCTAAGAATCAAGGTTTTAATTTTTTTCTTTTTTTCCCCAGTCTGTCTGATTTACAGCACTGATGACTTCTAATGACTTGTCAAGGGGAAAAACACTCCCACTCCCATGATCTGCTCTGCTTTTGCCGCAGACATATTTCCCAATTGTTGACAAGACTGAGTGCTTGCTCTTGTTTACTTTCCTCTCCCATGATGTTTGAAGCCTCCACATAAGAAATGAGAAATAGTGTCACTTGAATAGGGGTTTCTGATGGGTCAGGCTTGTGCTAAGCACTTTATTTGCTTGATCCCGTCTAACTTAGTAGACCTTTCATTCTTAAATACTCTCCTGAACTCAAAGTTTAAAAAGGGAGGGGACTGTGCTTTGATAAATAGTGTTTCTCTTTGAATGAAAAGAAAGAAGAAAACTGGACTTTTCTTAAGTAATTTGTTTGAATGCCCCAGTGTGTCCAGCACAACCACAATTGTATGTATGTGTAATAGCACATTTTCAAAGCCATTTATTTTTGGATTATGGCTTGACTTCATGGCATAGCAAACTGATTATGAAAAGATAATTTTATATAAAGGTGATTAAGCTCTTGAGTCAGCTCTAAATGGTAAAGATAATTAGTTTCTCTCATATTTGATATTGAATGAGTGAATGAAGCATATATTTCTTGAGAACATTATTACGTGATATATATCGTACCAGTGTTTGTGTAGGATATAAAAAATGCTTAAGTCAAGTTTATGCTCTCAAGTAGTTGATAATTTAGTGAAATAAGACAGGTATCTGAATATCTTATAGTTTAAAAGGAGCACTTTGCATTAGTTTAAGTACGTAATGTGCTAAGAACATGCTGGGCACATGGTAAGCACTATGTGTACTAGTTACTATTCTTATGTGTTAAACCTTGTGATAATCAATTAACAGAATTGTGGCCTCCCTCCCTCCTCAATCCCTTTCCTCCAGTTCTCCATCTCAGAGGCACTGTTTCTTGCCTATCCTTCCATAGATATCCTGTGCTTTACACACGTACATGTGTTCTGTTCTTTTCTTTACCCAAATGGGAACAGTACCCTGCTGCGCATCGCCCATTTATTCAGTTACTATGTACTGGAGATTTTTCCATTTTTAATATGCAAGTGCTACCTTGTTCTTTTTATCTGCTACATGGCTTTCCATTGTGTGGATGAACCATAATTTACTTAATTTGTCTTCTATTGAAGCCTTTCCAGGTTATTTACAGGCATTTTTTTTTCAAACACAAATAGCAATGTAGTGAATAGCTTTACACACAGTATTCTTATATATGAAGTATACCTGTAAGATAAATACCTCTTACTGGAATGAATCAAAGAGCATGTATGTACATTTAGAATTTGATTACCATATTCTTAAGCAAACAACAGATGCAATTTGGCAAGTTTCAGAGATCTTAGGGCCATTGGATTGGAAAACCCAGAAAACAGTGTGCGTTCATTGGGATTCTTGTCTTTAGTCTTTTTCACTCTAGGATAGACTCCGTTGAGTGGCTCAGTTTGAAGCACTATGCTTATGGAAAAATTTACCCAGCTGGCCCCCCACTGCCGTCATCCCAGGGAGTGCCCAAGATATAAAGCAGTAATAAAATCAGAGTATACTTTTCTTCTGGTACCTTCCACAGAGACAGGACGAGATCAGGGTGTTTTTTCAGTGTTATGGCTTCTTGTCTTCTGGGTGTCCCGAAATGTTGAAACACAATTCTAAAACATTTTTTGCTCTTTTAAGTTAAGGGCAACTCAGTAGAGAAACTCTGGAAAACCCAGGCAGAATTCACAATTTCCTATGATCCCAAACAGTTTCCAGTCTCCCATGGACATATACCAGCCTGTCAAAAACATGTCCTTTAACGAGCAAATTAGAAATGCAAAAAAGACTTTGCAGATATTTCTTGTAAAGAGAAGGCTGCATCAGGGGAAGATAAGGTTGTTTTCCCGCTTGTGAATTTTCATATCCTTTCCGTGCCCAGATCTGATGGTGGTTACAAGACCAATCACAGCGGCAAGTGTCAATGACTAATGCAGTTACTGAGAGGGGTCTTTAATTTCCTGGAGGCAAACACCATCACCCGCCACGTCCATATCACAGACGAGAAGATGCCAGGGCTACTGGGGAGTCAGTGATGGAAGAAATTACAAAACTGATGCAATTACTGAGAAAATGATGAAATGTCTCACAAAGAAAGGCTTCAATTTCCTTCAATTTCAGGTTTTGTGATATGCATCAGTGTGGCTGTGTCTCTAGTATTATTCTCAGCTCCCTGTGTCTTCTTACCCTCATGGTGGGAGAACATTTTGTAACAGGAAGATCATCCTCACCCTTTCTCCTCCCACCCTGGCTCTTTCATTTCTTCCAATGTTTTTTGCTATAATGATTTCTTTTATTAATTAGCAGCCAAGAGTAAATGTTTTCACAGTGGAATCTAGGTTAGGTTTATGGAGAACTAGATCTTTTTCTGTTTTTTTCTGGGTTTTTTTTCCAGTTCTAACTGATGGTGGGATTTAGGGCAAATCACTTGAATTCTCTGATTCACTTTCTTGTACCTGTGGCTGAAATTAAGAATCTTCTCTTCATAGAACAAAGGCTCTTGGCTCAGGACCAGGTCCAGAGTTGGCCTGTTTAGGGCCTTGGGTGGGAGCCAGGAGAGCATGGAAACTGATAAGGATTATGTGGTCCAGAAGTAGAAGTCAAGGGTTAGTGACGACAGAGAAGGCAGAGAAAGCAGACGTGTATTTTCCCATCCTTCTTTCTAATAACTCTTCCTTTCTTACTGTTCTTTTAAGTAAAAGGGCTGAGATAGAAAACGAGAGATTACAATTAAGTATGTATACCTAGATGCACAGCCTTAAACACCTCAATTATCTTTTTTACATTCAGCTGAGTTCGATATCATTCTTGATAGCATCCCGCCTCTGACGACAATGGCGATTTGTTTTCGGAGTATAGTACAATATTTAAATACTTTCCAGC